GTGCTCTCAAGAAGGGAGTTTCCCATCTTATAAGTGTGCTGCTGGTTACTACTGCCCAAGTGCAGCACCCTGCCCTTGTCAGTATTGAAACACATCTTGTTTTTGTTAGCCCACCCCTGCAACCTATCCAGGTCTTGCTGCAGTCTTTCCCTCCCTACTAGCGTGCTCACCTCACCCCAAATTTTGGTATCATCAGCAAATTTGAACAGGTTGCTTTTCACCCCATCATCCAAATCGCTGAAAAAGAAATTGAACAGTGCAGGCCCAAGGACTGAGCCCTGGGGGACTCCGCTGCCCACTTCCCCCCAGGTCGAATATGACCCGTCCACCACCACCCTCTGAGTACAACCCTTCAGCCAATTAGCAATCCATCTGACCGTGTAGGCATTGATGCCACAGTCGCCTAGTTTTTTAATGAGGATGGGGTGAGAGACAGTGTCAAAGGCCTTGCTGAAGTCCAGAAAGACTACATCCACGGTGACACCTGCATCCAATGCTTTTGTGACCTGATCGTAAAAGGCAATCAGGTTGGTCTGACATGACCTGCCCTTAATGAAACTGTGCAAAAATTGTGCAAAATACATTTTTCCAAATGCAAACCAGAACACAATGTTCTGGCTAGCTGTGTTCTGTTGAATATTTTTGAGCACTGAGTTCTGAAGTGTCAACTGAGCAATGTTTCTTTCCTTAGCCTTTAATTCTCTAGTGGCTCCTCAAGTAGTGTGGGCCCAAAGGAAACTTACACCCTTTAGTTCTCTCACACTGGGTGACTACTTTGCAACAACACAAAAGTACAGCTCTCATAAAGTGTCCTCACATTGCCAAAAGCCCATACATTTTTATTCCCAATTTAGAGGATTGGCACAGGTAGAACACAGAAAATTTAAGACAAAACGGTGAATCAAATAAAATAGCATCATCTTGACCAAATACACTATAGAGTATACAGTCCTCCCCATGGTTTTTCTTTATAAAGGAGGATTGTCTCTACACGTGATTGCAAAAGAACTCCTTTAAGGCTGTTAGTATGCTACATTTTGCATTTATATTGTAAAAACTAGTCTTAGTAAGAGAGAAATTCCTTAAATCAGGACATTAGGAAAAAAGTTATTTCAAGTTGTTATACCACACAGGTCCACTGAAAAAGTTTCAAGAGCATAACAGCCAAAGCAGCATTTAAACTGAAGGTCTCAAAAAAAAAAAAAAAGTACATCATCATGGCTTTATTAAATACAGCTTGAAGAGAAATATGATACTGTAACATCTAGATCTAGACAATAGCACATAACACTAATCTGAGAGCCAAGTGACGTTATTCCCTTGGTTCAGGACTTTCCCCTCATCAAATTTAGTTGGGTGCATGGACTTTTGGATTTACCTCTACCGTCAGGATGCAGAGGTTCCAATACAGCCTTTTGTAGCGTAATGGTTCTCAACTGTAACCTTTCAAATTTAGAATTTACACATTTTAATTATACATAATTTGCATGCATGGTAAGATTAGTTAACCACAGAAAATCATACCTCCTACCATTTTTTGTTACAAAGGAAAGATGTAGATAGACATCTCTTTTGCAGTCTGCATTTAAGCACGTCCCACTTGTATGCAACTTCCAGATTAGTGCCTTTTGTGGAAACTGTTTTTAGTGCAGGAATAAAATGTATGCATCAGGGAGATGTTATTTACAGAGGCTGCAACTTGACTTAGTTTCATATATAACCAAACGGGAATTTTTAATGCCTTTCTGTCCCCAACTGAAAAGCTCCAGAAAAGAGTCTCTTATTTTTACCACAGGTGCAAGGACTAAGGTAGCATCTTAAATTTACAGAGTTACAAGAATAATTTTCAGCTTCTCCAGCTTACTCTTATACACAAAAGTAAAATTAGATTTTGCCTAATTGCATCAAAAAACCTCTGATGGTGCCACTTAAAAAACC